TTCTTATCACAAGTAGAAAACAATAGATACCATCTAGCTGAAGATAGGAAATCTAGAGATCACGTGAAGACCTCACATCTGTTACCTAGGCGTAATGCTTGATGCTCGATTGAATTTCAATCAACAGGTGGAACACGTTAGTGCTAAGGCGTCAATAGTTAGAACGAGACTTGCTCGACTGATGCCTAATGTTGGAGGCCCTAAACAAACCAGAAGGATATTATTATCATCAATGGTTACTTCGGTGCTGACATATGGTATCTCCATATGGGCTGATGCTCTCAAAACTCAAAAATCGAGGAGAACGCAGGACCTATACATCGTCTGAGTGCTTTAAGAATTGCTTGCGCATTTCGCACAATATCGGAGGAAGCAGTGTGCGTCATTTCAGGAACTCTGCCTCTCTTAGTCTTAGCACACTTTATTATAGAAGGACACTTTACTATAGAAGACATCAACAAATTAGAAGAACGGCATAACAGCATTGACCGATGACAGCAACTGTGGGATGTCGCTGTGAAGAGCAGATGAACGCATCGTCTCATTCCTAACATCAAAGTCTGGCTAAGTCGCAAGCATGAAGAAGTAAATTATTATACTACGCAAATGCTATCTAGGCACGGCTGTTTTCGAGCCTACCTACATCGCTTCAAGCACGATATTGCCCATATCGCCGTATTGCCCATATTGTTTGGGTGAAATCGAAGATGCTGAGCATGTGTTCTTCGTGTGCCCGCGATTTGGTGCTCTACGGGACGATGTGGTAGAGACATTGGGACGAAGAATTGCGCCAGGTAATGTTGTTGAAGTGATGCTGACAAGTGAAGCTGCTTGGAACGCCATAGACAGATTTGCGAGAGAGGTACTAATTGACTTACGCTCTATGGAAAGAGAAAGGACGAATGGGACTTCGCCCATTTAAAAGATTAGTATAAAATCAAGTGAAGAATTATAACATTCTAGATCCTCCCCCCACGAAGTAATGCCTAACGGCGGTTTCCGTGGGGACCAGAGGCAAGGGCAAAGCGGAGGTTTTAGTCGGTATTATACCAAGGCGGTATTGAGTCCTACATACCCGGACAGAACACCAGTCTGGGATGCATAAAGGCATTTCCTTCGCTATACACATACACACACGCATATACACATACACACATACATCCATTTTTTATGAGGTATACCAAAATGTTCAGAAACCTTTGAAACGTAAAGATATATAAACATTTTCATTTTCGTTTTTTTCGCGATTACTATAACTTGCCCTACGTGAAGTTAAAAATATTTTTGACCATTTGGTGAAGTTCATCAACGCCATACTTGCTGCTATTATTATCGGGTAATGTTTATGAAACAGGTTTTTTATTTTTTTCAATTTCAATTTCAATTTCAGTTTTTATGTTTCGTAATTAGTAGCAAAACGTTTTATAAAGGTTTTATTTAACAATGGTCACGGTACAAATCTCAGATCTAAACAAGAACTTTGTCATTGTACTTTGACGATTCCCAAAATGTTATCTTTCGAATTGTTTTTACACTTTCAAAACCAGCTCAAGAATTCAGTTCAAAACTCGTATGAAAATTTTACACTTTTGTATTAATTACAAGGAAATGTCTCGGCTGGTACATATCGAGTTACATAGAATGGCTTTTGAATATTAAAAATCGGTGCAGCCGTTTTTGAGAAATCGAGATCGAAATGTCGGCTCACATTCACACACATACTTTTCCCAAATTTGGTCTCATTCAGAATGACTTAAAACTTAAACATAAAATTAGCAAATTGGATTTTCTGGAGAAAACATACTTCTCTTTCAGAAAGCCAATGTTCATAAAAATATCATAATAGTGAAGTTAAAATAAATAAATAAAATGTTGTCAATAATTGAAATTACTTACAGTTACATTTTCGTCATTTGTTTGTTCTCCAGTACCATCTTGTGACTCGTGATTTAATTTCCACTGACTGACATAGGCAGCGATTGCTGAAATAACAAATAATTAAGTATTATAATTGAATAAGTGCAATTCTGTATACAATTAAATATATATGGGCAATTATTTGATGATTAAAATTTTATGCATTTCTACACTTTATAGTTCTTATTAGTTAGTTATTAACAATTAGCAATCAGAATATATACAAATTCTATAAGCTAATGTATGACGTCTGTACAAAAAATAAAATAAATAAAATACAAACAATCAAAAAGCAGAGCAAAAGAAAAAAAAATTATAAGTATATACAAATAATAATAATTATAAATAAATAAAGAAACTTGCTGGAACTCCCCGTACCGTAATGAAATATTCAAAGAATATTAAATGTTTTCAAACAGATTGTTATGAATACTATAACTTATATATGTTTACAGAGAAGTAAATAAATAAAACTTAATCGAATAAATCAAAAATAAAAAAATAAATCGAATTTAAAATGAAATGAATCGAAATTTATAAATGGTAGATTTTTATGAAAGCATTGTGAAAATAAATATATTTGCATTGCATATTGATCAAATAAAATAATACATTTTTTATAAATGATATTTATTTATAATTATTCATTTATTTATACATATTTTATAAGATATTTTAAACTAGTTCCTAAATACTCGTATCTGTATAATACCTGTTAATGCTCCAACGCTGGGGTGTTTGAAATAGGTATAAACACACCTACAGGTAGGTAGAAATGCTAGTTTTTAGTCATTGTCAGAATAAAGCTTTCTAACATCTTATTACAGTTATATATCGAATTACTTTTATAATAAACTAAAAAATAATGAAGAATGAAGAATATTCATTTTTTTGTGAAAAACTTGTTATAATAGATTCATTCGATTTGAACGCTAAATAGAACAAAATCATACTATATTATTATTCAGTTTATTATAAAAGTAATTCGATATATAACTGTAATAAGATGTTAAAAAGCTTTATTCTGGCAATGACTAAAAACTAACATTTCTACTTACCTGTAGGTATATTTATACCTATTTCAAACACCCCAGCGATGGGGCATTAACAGGTACTGATACGAGTATTTAGGAACTAGTTTAAAATATCTTATGAAATATGTATGAATAAATGAATAATTATAAATAAATATCATTTATAAAAAAAATGTTTTATTTTATTTTATCAATATGTAATGCAAATATATTTATTTTCAGAATGCTTTCATAAATATCTACCATTTATTTTCACATATTTGTGTAGTATATGTAACAAATTAATAATTATTATTATAATATTTAATCCAATAGATGTAAAAATAAATAGAAAAAAATATTCTAGCGGGATTCGAACTGGCGAATATGAGTCGAACTCGAATAATAAGTTGAGAGTAAGCGCCGCTAACCACTCGACTATCTATACACAGAGGTACGCAGTGCAATGCGTGTAGATATAGTGCTTAGCGCGTTTTTCGCAGCTTTAATCAATTTTTATTTAATTTTTATAATTAAACTGCTTCTCATAGCACTCTAATATTTAAAGGTGCTCGGTTTGACAATCAACCCTATAACCATGCGAAGTTTCATCAAAATCTCAGAAGAGTAAACCTGATGGTTACCTTGTAAGCAGTGATGTTGTCGAGCCGGAACGCACCGGAACGCGTTCCGGCAATTTTTTTTTTTTTTTAAATCGCTACATACAGAAAATGATTTAATAAGTGAATTTTATAAATTATAATTCAACTAATGTTTATTAAATGTTCCTATTATTGTAATAAACATACATATATGTGCACAAAATCGGTTTTGTAATAATTTTTGTTTCTTTCCTTTTCGAACGGAACCGGAGGAAACATGAGAACCGATTTTTGAACCGGTTTATGAACCGTTTTTTTAATTTAAACGTTCCGGCAAAAAAGATATTAGCACAACACCACTGCTTGTAAGTGAAAAAAGACAGACTCGAGATTACTCGAGTAGGTCTGCTGGACAAGTTATTCTAAGCCTTCGGCTTGTATGCTCGTGCATAAAAGACTGTAACAGTCTGTTTTTACGGTTTCGATTTTGTGGAGTTGAGTGCAGACTTTTTGCCCTGGCAAAGGCAATGTTTGTAAGCAGAAATCTCTCGAATATTTTAGATGTTATTGGAAGTAAGCTTATTGGCCGGTATGAACTCATTTTGTTCGAGTCTTTTCCTACCTTTGGAATCATTTTGACCGCAAAATTTTTTAATGATGTGAGCCAATAATTGAGCCTCAGTATTGCGTTAAAAATGTAGGTGAATAGCATATACCATTCTGTAGGAAGTTATTTAAGCATTACGCTTGAAATTTATTTATAAGAAGTTTAATTTCATTGTAGTTGCTGTAAAGAATCCGTTGTGGTCTAAGGACATAGTTTTAGCATTAGGAATATTAAAATTTATCCTAATATCGTTAACCGAAAAAAATAGGGGTAAGGTGATTATCAAACAGGTATTCCTTTTTAGCATCGCTTCTCGCTCAAGAATCAGAAGCGTTTAATCTTATAATAGGTGGGTGTTTGTTGTAGGCTTTTTTGTTATACATTTGTTTCCATATGGTATTATCAAATCTATTCAACCTGGGCATATAGTTAGTGATATTAATTTTGTTAATTTCACAAATTTTGGTTTATTTTATGCAGTAGTCTTATCCTAATAAACTAATAATATATCTATTTTATTTATTGACAGAAAAAGTAATATTTCATTTTTGTGTGCGAGAATCCCATTTGCATTCCATAACGCTATCCAGAGAAATTTAGCCATTTTTGTTTAATTTTGTTGATGAGTGTAGAATAACATGGTCACGATCATATTATTATTTTGTTGCATTATTTGTTGGAACATAGATTTGAATTAAAAAAAGAACTATGGTAACTTAATAAATTTAAAATTAGAAAAAGGAACTATGGTAGATAAACTATTCGACTTGTGTTTTTTGATGCCTTTTGTTATTTTAGTACCTATAAAACTAGGGTGTTGTGTATGAAATGGTGTGATTATTAACTTACCATGGGGTAAGTTATAGTAATCGCAAAAAAAGGAAAATGGAAATTTTTATATATGTTTACGTTTCAAAGCCTTCTGAACATTTTGGCATACCTTAGAAAAAAGATAGTGTGTGCATTGTGTGTTGGTATGTATGTAAGTACGACGGAGACAAATGCTGATTAGTTTGGGCAAAAAGAGCCAAAATGGGAAATTTGTTTCTAAGAGAACGGAGCGTCCAATTTGAAGAATTCAAGAAACATTTTATTTGTATTGATAAAATGAAAAATTAATTATATATTTGGAAATGCAGGTCCCGCGGTTTATAAAATCAAATAAAAAAATACCTTTGAGCAGTCAAACTATCATATATTTTATAGAGATTTTAATAACAAGTACAAATTTTGTTAACATTTGTAGGGGTCCCATACCAATGTTTATCCGTAGATTGGCGACGCGGCGCTTACGAGTTTCGATTTTTCGTCTCTAAAACATTTAGGCAGCGTGATTTCTTTGAAAAACATTTGAAATATTAAAAAAAAATTCAAAATAAAAAAAAACTTATATAAAATTCCTCAAACAAGTCAATTTTTTTCAATTTTTTTTTAGATTCGTAGTTCTCAGCACAGTGGGAACATGTAAACAGCTCATAGCAATATGATTTCGCCTGCCCATATTGTTGACAGCGTGGACACTGAACAATGCATTTGCGGATTTTTGGTAGTTCTAATAATGCAGATTTGGAATTTATCCACTTTGTAAATATGTTTATTGATTGATGCTAGTTCAGAGACAATGAAAACCGTATTTCGGTGTTATTTTGTGAGTTGTGCAAGTTTGAAACATTTCTTATCTTATGCGCGTATACATTAAATAGACTTGATTCCCTTCAGTTGCGATCGTATGGTGCATCTAACTACTTCTCTAAATGCGCGATCTTCTTTTAATTCCGCTTTTGAATCTTTCAATTGTTTGACCATTTGTCAAAAAGTATCGGAGTTATGGCAATGTATTTTTAACTTCGCATAGGGTAAGTTATTGTAATAATCCAAAAATCGAAATTGAAAAGGGTATGGGCGCATTGCCATATAGAATCGGCCCCACCCTGGTATTTAAATAATTTATACGCCATTTTATAGGTCTAAATGATAAAAATCGATATACCAATTTTGAACTTTGTATCTCATCTTATGGCCGAGATATCATTGAAAATATGTGAAAGTGGCCCCTTTTTTCAAACTCACTTTTTGACGTAACCATAAAAGATATCGAAAAAAAATTTACGTGGTTCTATTAATATTGGCTTAGGCCACATAATGTAGAACAATCGATGCCAAATAATTAATTATTATTAGCTGAAAAAGATAAAATAATTTTTCAATTGATGTTTTCCGGTAGTGCGTTTAGTTGGACCACCTTCTAATTAGCGTTATTCGAAAGATTATTGCTTGATCTTTTAGTACTGAAAATATTGTTCAAATCAATTTGGTGGAACACATTGGAAAATTGAAAAAAACGGAGCCAGTACACCCGCGCGTAACCCTAATAGTACCCTGCAATTGCATAGAGTTCGTTCGAACGCAAAGCAGTGCGCGAAGCGCCCGAAACGATTTCTAAGAAATTCTGAATGTGACAATATTTATTATATAGTTATATGTATTCATATGAAATAATAATATAATGAAACATTGTAATTTCAACAAACCCAAGAAAATTTTCTTTTTTTGAATGATAATTGTAACATTGCGATTATAAAGCCCTTATTGTGGCCTATCTTTATCAGTACTACTCAATACTACAATACAAAAAGAAATATGACAAATGGTAATCTGAAATTCTTTGCTTTTTGTTATTTAAAATTCTTCAAAAATTATTCGCCATTTGATGTGGAAACTTTCTATATAGTACTTCAGGAATTTACAAAAATTATTACTGAAAGTATTCTAATAATCATTATTATTATTATTATTATTATTATTATTATTATTTCAAAGAGTATAAGAATATAATTAGAATTGATGTCCTATCACGGCATATAAATAGGAAAAAATATAATGTTTATATTGAATATACTCCGCTTGGCACTAACTATCGAAGTATTTTAAGGTATTGCTGTAGTTGTCCCAATGGATTGAGGACTGTTGGTTGCTGTTCACATATTGCAGCTATCATATATTATATGTCATTTGCGAGGTATTTATCACGTATTATACGTCCATCAGAAATACTATCGAAAATTTTTATAATAGAGGAAACTTCGGTTGCTATTAACCATGACAGTGATGACGATTAAAATAACAAAATATAATTTTAATTGATTTATTATTTATTTATTTAGCATACCGAAGTATTTGTGTAAATCGCATGATACACTTGTAAATTTTAAAAGAACACCAATAAATTTTTATTTCTAATATTATAATTAAAATACTTTTATTACTTTAATTAAATTACTCACAGTGATAAATAAATGAAATTGTATTTCAGAATTCGCATTTCGCATTCAGAATTTCTTAGAAATCGTTTCGGGCGCTTCGCGCACTGCTTTGCGTTCGAACGAACTCTATGCAATTGCAGGGTACTATTAGGGTTACGCGCGGGTGTACTGGCTCCGTTTTTTTCAATTTTCCAATGTGTTCCACCAAATTGATTTGAACAATATTTTCAGTACTAAAAGATCAAGCAATAATCTTTCGAATAACGCTAATTAGAAGGTGGTCCAACTAAACGCACTACCGGAAAACATCAATTGAAAAATTATTTTATCTTTTTCAGCTAATAATAATTAATTATTTGGCATCGATTGTTCTACATTATGTGGCCTAAGCCAATATTAATAGAACCACGTAAATTTTTTTTCGATATCTTTTATGGTTACGTCAAAAAGTGAGTTTGAAAAAAGGGGCCACTTTCACATATTTTCAATGATATCTCGGCCATAAGATGAGATACAAAGTTCAAAATTGGTATATCGATTTTTATCATTTAGACCTATAAAATGGCGTATAAATTATTTAAATACCAGGGTGGGGCCGATTCTATATGGCAATGCGCCCATACCCTTTGTGCATTTCTTCACGTTTTAAAGGTTGAAAAAATACAAAAAATCAAAAACAGAACACATGTTTTCTGAGCCCATGGTTAATTCAAACACACTTTCAATACAAAATATCGCATCATACACTATAAAAGAAAATCTGTATTCAGCAAGTAGGCGAATTAAATCTTTTTTTATGTATTTAAATTCTTCTAGTGTGAACAGCTATTTTCAAAATCGTCTGCCACTACGTTAATCGCGTGATAATCGTCTGCCGTTAGTATTTTGCGCTGGCAATACTATTACAGTAAACCCTCGCTTTACACGGCAAATGCGTACCGTGCAGTATGGGGACCGTGCTATAAAAACCTCGTATTTAACATAAAATTCAGGCTAATTCGTAATGCGTTCTATGGAACCTTACATAGTGCAGTATAGGAACAGTGCTATGAAAGACTCAGAGTTGGTACAAATCGCACCAGTTTTATCGTGCTGTATGGAGACCAAGAAATACAACTTGAAGTAGGAGTAATACGGACTAAATGACATTTATGACATTGACAACTTATTCAAAAATTGGCGCGACGCAGTAGTCAGCTCAAACGTGTTTTTAGACAGCTATTATATAATCAGACATGTCTAAAAGATAGAAGTCGATAACAAAACTTACATTAACACCCTTTTGATATCAAGTTCCTATAATCATTCATAGGTTGCGCAAGGAATTAATGCGCTGTTGAACAAAATCCGTGTAATAGGAAGTCCGTGTAGTCGGAGGGATGTCGGATTTTTAGCTCCGTGTAGTATAGGAACCGTGTGCGCAGAGTGCCGTGTAAAGCGAGGGCCTACTGTATATTTTCAAATTTTAGAAGCAGCAGTCGTCATCTATTGGTCTTGAAATAAGCGAAAAAAAGTTACATTTATACGTCGTCGTCAAATACATACTGTGATCCGACCACTGGCTATCAGTACATATCTGATAGAACAAAGCTGCCATAGCAAAAGAAAGAATTTTTTTTATATGCAATTATCACTTGTTTCAATTAAATTAATCTTCAAAATAATACCTTTCTCTTCCGCTTCTTTTTCTATGGGCATCAATATGCCATCATCATCATCCCTATATCCATAATAATCAGCATCGATATCCTTCATCAACTCTGCTCGACTCTTTCGTGGCACCACAGGTGGTTCCTTTTCGAATAATTCTCTGACACCTTAAGGAATTGATAAAAGAGTGATATATGTGCGTACATATATAATTGTATATTATATATACAATTTATATATAATAAAATATATCATTCATAAATCAAACCTGGTAATTCTTTTGCAGCACCAAAATATTTATATCCACGATTTCCTGGTACCTACAGAAAAATAAAAATATATATTAAAATAATGTGTAAAACAATAATTTAAAATTCATCATTCCTTTGTGTCAAATTCGTTATTCTGGTCATTGGAATTTATTGAAATTCTATATATTTGAAAGTACGGACATTTAGAGTACATCGATTACACAAACTAGTTGTAAGTGGCATACGCGTCGTCTAAAATATGTCTTCACTAATTTCAACCCGATGAGAACTGATTAGTTTTATATTAAAATTTTTCGTAAATGTTTTTAGCAGAATTTTGAATCGAATTTGAAAATCCAAAACTATCGAAAGTCATGAGTTGAGAATCCTGCTGAATAGTTTTTCGTAATTTTGCCGATTTTAACTAATTAATTTCATAAGTTACACTCTTGTTATCTATGGTGTTTACAAACATCATAAAATACTAAAGACCAACAAAAAGAAGTTTAATTAACATCGAAGCTATTCATTGAACATTAATAAATATGTACAAAATTGAATAAAGTGCAATAATGTACGTCATTTCGCTATAACTATTAACTATTCAGAAATAATACCACGTGGTATCTTATCTTAAGTCTTAGATTGTGATTAGAATTGCTCGACGAAGTTCTAAATTATGATGAGTTTATATAATTCAACCGCTAATCGTAGGCCGGTAATATTTTAGTATGTTATTTCAGTGTACGTGTTATCTTTACCAACAACGAATCAACGCGATTCTCTACCTATATCTTTCGAACAGTTTTTGAATTTTTAAAATCGACTGTGGGCTGAATCATGGATGAAAATATATAAACTTTTTTGTCGCGCAATACTATCGATGCTAAGTGGCGGCGCTGGACCATGCGTGGGCGTCGGCGAAATTCGTTTGCGAGGCCCTCCTTTTTTCTCAGTTAAAGTTAACTAGTGGTGAACGGCATCGTGCCTTAAGGCAAATTGCTGAAACTTTCCGTGCCGTAATTTAAATGTTTTAAAAGCTTTAAAAAATTTTAACGCGTAAAAATGTAAACAAAGTTTGTACTTATTATTAACCCTTTTAACTCGAATGCCGCCAAATGACCTTTCTTTTACTTTTTTTTATTAGATCTCCAAAACCTTCCTAAAAATTTAATCAGTTTTTCATCTTGTTAATACAAATAAAATGTTTTTTGAATCATTCGGATCGAACGCTTCGTTTTCTCAAAGACTGAATTATCATTTTGGAACTTTTTATCCCGTATCTTCGAAACGGCTCGTCCTGCCTTTCCCAAAAACTAATCAGCACGTCTTAAAGCCCATGTTAACAAGCTAAAAAATAATGATTGTTAAACGAAAGTATGAGTAAATGAGATTTATTTCTAATGAAATATTTATACAAATTGTAATAGACAAAAATTATATAAGTTAAAATAAACAAAATCTTCGGCAAAAATAGTTTGTTCTCCAGATATTAGAAAAACACTGAAATTAAATAATTATCCCAAAGAAGTTTTTTTATTGCCATTAGTTAATTTTATTATATCTTAATGGTTCAAATATTTCTGAATGAAAATCGTTGGAAACTATATACTTAATTAATAACTAATTAAACAAAATACTGCAATCTACAATTTATCAATTTGATTAAAAAATCTATAATCATAATAATTTGAGTGCACAAATCCGCACATCCAAATTTTTATAATTAATCATTTATTGTAGTTCCATAAATTGTATGTTAGTTTATACTTTTATCTCTATACAGTTTTTTTTGAAAAAGATTTCTACAATTAATTACGAAAAAAACGGCGGGCCGATCTTTACGAAAAACTAATCAGCACGATTGCCAACTGAAAACTTTCGAAAAGTTTTTGAATTTTGAACTTGATTCAGAAACGTCGAAATGTTGGATTTTTTTAAGAACCATTAATTTTTTGTCGACGATATCAAAGCGGATCGATGATGATTAAAAGAACATTCGATTCGTGTTGATAAATTAATTGGCAAAAGCAGGTCATTCTGAATCGTTTGAAACCAAATTTGTAAAAAGTATGTGTGTGTGTACATGAGCCGATTTTTCGACTCTTTGTCGGCGTCTTCTCGAAAAAGGCTGCAGCGATTTCAAAAGTCATTATATGTATCCACCGTCAATCATCAAAACGCACTCGCCACTTCCAATTACAAAAGCAGAATCTATAAAAATAATCATCCAACAAAAATTTATCAATGAATAGATATTATAAGAACAAAAACTGTCATTATTCGTTTCTTATAGACAAAATGCAAAAGCTTATTAAAATAAACCACGTCGTTAAAATCTGTTTATGAAATATATATAAACAAATTCTAATTAGGCGGACTTACTGTTTCAAATATATTTGTTTCAAAAATATAAATTATTGTTCGCAAAATATATGCACTAAGTTAACAACTATAAATATTTTTTGTAGTATTTAACTATACTAACTATACAAACAAAAAAATAAATTATAAAAATTATTCGCTTATGGTCAATTTTGACATTCTTATTTATGAAATAAAACGACAAAAATAGTTGTGACTCCAAAACGGTTGGACCTGCGTTTGCCAAAATCTAATCAGCACGTCTCGCCCAAAATACGATTCGAATGCTTTTTGAATCATTCAAATCGGTCGATCCGTTCTCTCAAAAACATTGCAGTCATTTTTTGCACTTTGGTTCCGTATCTTCGATCTGCTTCTGCCAAAACTAATCAGGACGTGTCTCAGTAAATGCGAATGAAATATTTTTGAATCATTCAAATCGATTTATACGTGCGCCCGGAATCGTTGACAAAAAATAGTACCCAAACACACACACACAACATCAATAACATCGCCTTAAAAACGTCAATTATGACATCTCCGATAATAATTCTTAATATATAGTACATATTCAATAGAAGGGGTTTTCCACGAAAATGGAACCAGCAAAAATTAGTGTTTCTTCGCAAAGGAACAAAACCACCAGATGAAGCATCATCCTTCCGTCCAATATGCATGCTGATACAGTGGGTAAAATTTTTGAAAGAATGAATCGCCAAAGAATATAGTATAGGAGCCAGCAACGTTTTTAAAACAAGCATTTTAGTTAGGCTGGTTTTTTGGTATGTGGTCCTTGGTGCTCTCTCGGTTAGGGTACGGGCCATCTGGCAGCTGGAAGTGGTTGCGTTAATTAGTGCGCAGCCAATTTGTACAGCGCGATTTCAAAATTTTGAAAGCATTTTGGTCAGTCCAATTTTCGTTTTTTTGACTTTGAATAGGTTCACCAGACACAAATTTTTTGTTGCCAGACATTTTGGGCGCTGCTAAATATGTGCCAGACGCCAATTTACTTATTAATTTTTTTAAAAATTCAAATCATTTTAGTCCGTCTGAAATTTTAGTATTATGTTCGTTAAGGGTAAAAACACGTAACATTAATTTGCCAGACGTTTCTGCGGTTGTTAACCATGTCTGGCAAGCAAAAATGTCTGGCAATATGATACTAGTTTATAGCATTTTAGTCAGTCCAATTTTCATTTTTTGACTTGATATTTGAATTGATAACTTGAATAAGTTATCCAGATTCACATTTTTGTTGCCAGACATTTTGGGCGCTGCCAAATATGTACCAGACGCCAATTTATTTATTAATTTTTTTTAAATTTCAAATCATTTTAGTCCGTCTGTAATTTTAATATTATGTTCATTAAGGGTCAAGAAATATAAAATTAATTTGCCAGACGTTTCTGTGGTTGTTAAGCATGTCTGGCAACGAAAAAAGTCTGGAAATATGATACTAGACAATCGCCAAATACATTGGCGCGAATGAAACAAAAAACTATTATACTCGTAAGAGCGCTATACGTTTACTAGGCAGAAAACCATAAGAAAAATCAAGTAACTATATTAGACAGATGTGTTTGTTATAAACTTCTCTGCAAAATCGTGTTTATACTATTTTTCTTTAAAATCACCGTTTCTTACAAATTGCCATCTGGAAAGTTAAAAAATTCATATTCCTCATAATATGCAGCCTTTATAAATACATCATCGAAGGTGAATTATGAGTGAAAAATAAAAATCCATTGATTTGTTTTGGATAGATAAGTTTAATGAGTCTTTTGATATATCACATTGTAGTATTATTGTCCCAGTGTGGGAGGGTCGCATACCTGATTGTTTTGAAGGATTTAATCAAAATAATTATGTATAAATGAATGCGATGCGTGTTAACATCCAAAGTGCTTAAACAGTTATCATATTGAATAAATGTGCCAGTTTCAAGTACCAACACATGAGAAGGAAGATAAGCTACCTACATTACTATATTATTGTATCATTAAGCCATAAGACGAATAAATCTGTATAATAGACGTTTTTATTCGTTGTTAAAAAAAACGATATTCCCAATTATAATCTTGATTTAAGAGACCTAGGTCGAATGACTATCATTATATAGTGATACATATTGATCTAAAATGATCCCATTTGAATTTTTGAATTATTAAATACACTTCGATTTTTCAAAATCATTGCTCAATTTAAAGCTAAAAGCTGAAAGAAAAAGGAGCGGAGAATGTTTGCTGTACAATATATATTGTATATATATATACTAGAATTTTAAGATTCTATTATAGGGGTAGCTTGAACTAGTAAGGTAGCAAAACTAGTATTACCAGTGTTAAGTACAGGTATGTGTTATAATTAGTTGCTACTAAAGCTAAGTACTATATAAAATGAAGTCATTCGACTCAGTTAACTTAGCGATAAAAAAAAATTGCGTACAACAAAAATAATGATTATTGTCAGTTCTCATTGCAAAACTTAAAATATATGATATTCTTAGTTGTTACGATGCTACTTAACCACTGTCGAGTCAAATTTTTGAAAATATTAACAGCAATATTTTAGAATCATTAACATATTTTTTAGAGCTAGTAAAATTAAAAAAATGACTAATATGATGATGAATTTCTTTGTCTTTTCTAATTAGGTCTTTATTTAACTTTATTTTATTTGTTTTATGAAAATGTTATTGAAATTGCACTAACTTTAAATAGTATACGTCTTGCGCTTTTACGAGAATAATAGTTTTTTGTTTCATTCGCGCCAATATATTTGGCGATTGTCTCACTCTGTCTACTAGTATCATATTGCCAGACTTTTTTCGTTGCCAGACATGCTTAACAACCACAGAAACGTCTGGCAAATTATTTTTATATTTCTTGGCCCTTAATGAACATAATATTAAAATTACAGACGGACTAAAATGATTTGAAATTTAAAAAAAAAATAATAAATAAATTGTCGTCTGGTACATATTTGGCAGCGCCCAAAATGTCTGGCAACAAAAATGTGAATCTGGATAACTTATTCAAGTTATCAAATCAAATATCAAGTCAAAAAATAAAAATTGGACTGACTAAAATGCTATAAACTAATATCATATCGCCAGACATTTTTGCTTGCCAGACATGGTTAACAACCTCAGAAACGTCTGGCAAATTAATTTTATGTGTTTTTACCCTTAACGAACACAATACTATAATTTCAGACGGACTAAAATGATTTGAATTTTAAAAAAAATTAATTAATAAATTGGCGCCTGGCACATATTTAGCGGCGCCGAAAATGTCTGGCAACAAAAAATTTGAGTCTGGTGAACCTATTCAAAGTCAAAAAAACGAAAATTGGACTGACTAAAATGCTTTCAAAATTTTGAAATCGCGCTGTACAAATTGGCTGCGCACTAATTAACGCAACCACTTCCAGCTGCCAGACGGCCCGTACCCTAACCGAGAGAGCACCAAGGACCACATACCAAAAAACCAGCCTGACTAAAATTCTTGCTCGAAAACGTTGCTACCTCCCGTACTAATAGATGCAGTAGTTGACCAACTCCAATCAACCAGACAATAAGTATGGTTTTCGCAAAGGGCGTACAACTATCGAAGCTATAAACTGTATGACAAGAACGTGCCAGTATACTTACCTCTGCAATATAGTCGCAAACTACTTTACGGACAGAAGAATATAGTATAACAGGAGATGCGCCGCAGGGCTCTGTTCTAGGCGCATTTCTGTGAAATATTATGTATAATGGCCTTTTGAGGCTGGAGATTCCAGCATGTGTCAAACTGCTAGCATATGCAGATGATGCAGCCATAGTAGTTGTTTCCAAGCAAATTGATGAGATCGTAAGACTATTTGACATAACTTTGAGAAAAATTAGTCGCTGGATGGGAACAATAAACATCCAATTGGCACAACAAAATAGTGAAGTAGTTCTTATCACGTAGAAAAACAATAGAGATAATCAAGCTGAAGATAAGAAATCTAGAGATCACGTCAAAACCTCACATGTGTTACCTTGGCGTAATGCTTGATGCTCAATTGAATTTCAATCAACAGGTGGAACACGTTAGTGCTAAGGCGTCAGTAGTTAGGACGAAAACAAGCCAGAAGGATATTGTTATTAGGATAGCCTCAGTGGTTGCTTTGGTGCTTACATATGGTATTATTACACTGTGCAAATGCTATTTGAGTACGGCTGTTTTCGAGCCTACCTACAACACCGCTTCAAGCACGATAGCTCGCCGGATTGTCTATATTGCTTAGACGAAATCGAAGATGCTGAACGCGAGTTCTTCGTGTGCCCGCGTTTTAGTGCTCTACGGGACAATGTAGAAGAGATATTGAGGCGAAGAATTACTTCAGATACTGTTGTAGAAGTGATGCTGACAACTGAAGCTGTTTGTAACGGCATAGACAGATTTGCGAGAGATGTGCTAATTGACCTGCCATCTATGAAAAGAGAAAGGGCGAATGGGAATCGCTCATTTAAAAGATAAATATAAAATCAAGGTAAGAATGATAACATTCTAGATAACAAAGTAATGCATAACGGCGGTTTCCGTTGGGACTAAGGGCAAAGTGGAGGTTTTAGTCGGCATTGCCAGGCGGTATTAAGTCCGACATACCCAGACAAAAGACCGGTCTGGGATGCATAAAGGCATTTCCTTCGCTATACAAACAAAAAAAAAACACGCACACATACATCTTTTTCTTAAGTATGCAAAATGATCAGAAGGTCATGAAACGTAAATGTTCATTTTCAATTTTTTGCATTGACTATAACTTACCCCACCCACTGATCTCATTTAGTTGCTTTTATATTATATTCTTTCTTTAGTGTTGTATTATTTTGTATTTGTTTTATATCATATTACAAACAAATCAAACGATCTCTCGTCAAAAAAGTTTCGTAAAATCGGCAAAATATTTTTTTTTCAATAGTTAATTACAATAAACAGCTCGGTCAATCTTTACCTAAAACTAATCAGTATCATTCCCAAGCAATATTTTTCAAACAGTTTCTGACTTTTAAAATCAAACAACTGACAAACGATAGTACTCATCGAGATACATCGAATAAATTTTTGAAATCGGTCCAGCCGTTTTTGAGAAAACGTCGATTTAAGGCCAAAAATCTGTTCACACACAAACACAAACATATTTTTTCTAAATTTGGTCTCGTTCGATTCAGAATGGCTTGAAACGTCGAAAAAACAAAATTGGCGAATTCCTTCGGGAAGTTGAAGCATCTTTAAATATCAATTACTAAAAGTCTGAATGTGTTTTAATTAATAAAATTCTAACGTTCTTTGCTAATTTTTTAATGCGTATTGAATAAACCAATTTATTTTACTATGTGCGAGACTTTTCAATGAGAAAAATATTAAAATACCTCTTTTCCTTCTTTATCGAGCAATCGTGGTCCATATCTGGGATAATCTGGGCCACCCAGTTCTCGTATCTGATTCTCCCAATGTCTTTTTTCTCTCAACAGCTTGTTTATTTCATCGTTCAAGTCTCTTATTCGAAATTCTCCAAGACCAGCTGAATAAACAAAGATACAACATCAGAATAATAAAATGTATTTTTCTTAATTAGCCTCGGGACTTTTTACCCAATGTGTTATAGTAGAAAAACCCTGTTAAAACAATCATGCCATATATATACACTCATTGCACTTTGAAACACATTTTTATATTGTTAGTTTTGAATAAAATATCACAAAAAGCAAATCAAATTCAGCTGCTGAGTTTTACCGGCTGATACTTTACAATAGTATCAGCATTAAACATTTTAGAAATTTTAAGAGTTAAACCATAGATTTAAATTAAAATTTAAAACTATAGAGTTAAACGATTTCAATAATTATAAATTATAGAGAGAGAGAGAGAGAGAAAGAGAGTTACAGTACGGGAAGTTCCAGCAATTTGCCAGACACGATGCCATACACCACGAGTTGATCTATACTTTAAAAAAAATGATATCGCTACACATTATAAAGTTATACTGACCATTTTGAATTTGAGAAACTTTCTTCGAGATCTCCCTTATTATTTGGAGCCTCCATTTCTCTGCCATAGGTAAGCTGGTGCATTCTGATGCTATATACGGTCTTCTTTCTTTGTCAATTCCCCGTTCAGCAACTTGTGCAGCTCTCCATCGAGCAAGAGTCGTCCTGTTGAAAAAATACAGCAGGTGAATTTAAAATATTAAAACTAGTAGGGCGCATGGCATCGTGCCTGAAGGCAAATTGCTGGAACTTTCCGTACCGCAATTAAACATTCGAAGAATAAAAATAATCAGTCAACAAAAATGTCTATGAATAAATATTACAAAAACTAGAATTTTCATTATTTGTTCCTTGTAGACAAAATCTGAAAACTTATTAGATTAGACGACGTTGTTTATATACGTTTGAATAAAATATATATATAAACAAAATCTAATTAAGCGGACTTATTGTAGTTTGGTAAACATGCCATGCCAAACTATATACTGATCGACACATAGCAGCGATTTCCTTTTGTTTCGTTTTGTTTTTCTTTCTTGTATAATCATTTATTATTATAAATATTATGTGATTTTTTTCCATTGTATGAGACCTTTTATATTTAAAATAATAATTATTGTATTATTGTATTGTATGAGGGATGATAAACCTACGGGTAGAAATCCGAACAAAATCGCAAGTGTTATACACATTCATAATAGCGGACTTATTGTTAGAATGAACATATTTTATTTCAAATGCATAAATTTTTCGTTCGCAAAATATATTCTCTGAGTTAACGATAGAAACATAAAAAGTATTTAAAAAAAAAGAAAAATCACGCGTAACGCTATGAGCGGATGTCTAGGATTTAATCGAAATTTCTGCACTTTTTGCTCTGTATCTTCGAAACGGCTCCATTTTTTCTAAGGTATGCCAAAATATTCAGAAACCTTTGAAACGTAAAGATATATAAAAATTATAAATGTAAATTATAGTAATCGCAAAAAATCGAAAATGAAAATTTTTATATATCTTACGTTTCAGGGTTTCTGAACATTTTGGCATACCTAACAATAAGAAAAAATTGATGTATGTGTGTGCGGATACAAATTTTCATCGACAAGTTTGGGAACACGAGTCAACCGATTTTAATAATCAAAAAAACATTTGATGCGAATTGATAATGAGACGTTCTGATTAGTTTTTGGTAAGACCGGTCGACTCGTTTCGAAGATACGGGCAAAAAGTGCCTTACTTAAAGTGATTTTTTGACAGAACGGAGCGTCCAATTTGATTCAAAAAACTAAAGCAGGTCTAGTGGTTTCGGAGATCCAACAAAAAAGTGGAAAAAATGCCGGTTGGAGGACAAAAATGATCATTATGCACATCTAATGATCAAAAATAGATATTTTTTCCGTAACAATGTTTATCCGTTACACTGAAACGCGGCGCCCACGCGCTTCGATATGTCGTTTACACGCAGCTAAAGTATCGCGATTGCTTTAAAAAAAGTTCAAAATTTCCAAAATATTTCAAAGTATCAAAAAATAAGATTTTTCAAAAAGGTCAATTTTCTTCAAAAATTTTAAAAATCTCAAAAATCCATTTTTTCAGAGTTCTAGAAGCAAATTGAATCTTTTTGCCAGGAATTTGCCTTAAGGCACAATGCCATGCACCACTAGTTCATTCTTTATTTGTGCAGTCTATCAAACTGATATTAAAAATATATTAATCTTTATGAGTAACTTATAAATTTAACGAGTTACTGTAAGACCTATAGTTCACATTACAAACTATTGTGAATCATTCAATTTCTTACAAATGTACCAATTATGCTAATTATATTTGACAAATGGATTGAATATTATATTATTTAACAAAAAATAAATGCACATGTTTAGCACTCACATGCTAACTAACGGCACTTAGAACATACACAGTCTATGCCAAAATTTTAATAGTTCTACCTCTACGACAATAAAATTTAAATATATTCCTTACAACCATAAACTCTATAACCATACAAATACGGTTAAAACCTGGGTGATCTTTATCCAATTTCTATTTTTTCTTTAAGAAAAAGTTTGAACCAGAATAAGCAAATAAAGAAATGTGATTTACTGACTTAATCAATACTCTTTTCACTCCAGAATGTTTTTATCTTTGAAATAGAATTAAAATATTATTCATTTTCAAATGAATACAAAAATGGAACTTTCATTTTTTACCTTTAACTTTTTTTTAAATCGACTTAGAATTGCACATTGATTTCAAATATACATATCAGTTTTTCGTGACAGCTCTAGTTCTTGTGTTTTAGAGAACTACCCCAATTAGTCATTTCAGCTATGATTATCAAAGTTTAATGAATAACTAACCAATTTGTAAGAGTTTTATCTGCTGTTTTTGGTATGATTTCGACTGCAAGACCTTTTGTGCATAATCCTGATAATTTTTGTTACATCTGAGGTTAATGTTTTTGATAAATACCGGAAACCTATATCGAACTGCGTAAAGACATCGCTATCAAGATAAGACATGGGTTTTTCGTACTATGTGAAAAAAATTTGTAGTATATTTATGTTATTATCCAGAAAAAAATGAATGCTATAATTTCAATACGACGATTGTTTCTTCTGTGTGGTAAATATCAGTGGAATAAATTCAGGCAATAGAAGCAAATGATCATAAACCACAACCCCAATGGTATTGGAGTCTACTTATGATCAGCTACACATCCCCTATCCGTGCTAATTATGAACAACCTGGAACATCAACATCTCCTACAAACCATGTAATGAATGTAAAAACTAACATTAAAAGTGAAGTCAGGAAGAATTAAAAACTGATATATTCAATGCAATTGATTTGAATTTATTGCTCACACTCCGATTCAGAACAGTTTGTGAAAAATCTTGGAGATATTAGCGAAGAGCAGGGATGAGAGTATTCACCAAGACATCAGGACTTTAGAGGAGCGATATCAAGGAAGGTGAAACATCCACATAATAACTGCCAATTGTTGGAGCTTACGACAAAATCAGTTAGGTCTTGTCTACCCTCGAAAAGCATATAAAAAGAGTTTTCAATAAAAAACAGTATGTTGTATAATTTATTGTAATTTGAGGTAAATGTGCCAGACATTGGCATATATCCCAAACTAGAACTGTTATCCAATTTGTTACTGGTTTCCGAATCAGTGTGCTGAATTATTTAAAATCCATCATAACATCTGAGGAAAAAAATTTAGTGTCGTAAAGTGTGATAAATTAACATTGAATATCGCAAAGAAACAAAAAATGTGAAAATACTACAATTATTTTCTTGCTCATTGTTTAACCTTAAAATAATTTGTGATTTTAAATTGAAACATCTACAAAAATAAAATGATTCTTTGTACTGTAATGGTAACTGCTTTGCTTAATAATTTGTATATTATATATTAACAAGCAATAGTCATTTTAAAACTGTGCACAATGCACTTTTAGCAACAAAAAAGGATTAGTAAACATATAGATGTATCGAGAATAATATATAAAATACAATAGAAAAATAAAGGATTTTTGCTTTACATTCATTTACAACCCATTTGTAAAACAAAAGATTTTGATGGCAGACATAAGATTTTGTTATTATAATTTCAAACTCTTTCATCATAATAGCTAAAACAATAAAATAAATAACATAAATCTTTTCTATGCTAAAAGTAATTATTAGGTTTGGAATATTACTCACATAGCCTTTTCTGCATTTCGAGCCTAAAAGAAAAGATTCGAATCATTAGCTTTGTATCTCAACATTTCTAATCATTAGTTGTAAAATAAGTGCAAACTTACCATTGTGAAATAATTATAATAATACTTGTACTAGATTTAGTTAATAATTATATAAAACTTAATAACAATTATTGTTTGAAGAGGTTATAAAGCTAAACGGCAATAATGAGAAACGTCAAATGACAGTCGTCATAGATATTTCATTCTATGTTAATGTTAGACCGGTAATCTCCAAACAAACATCTGTAACCATAGATAAACAAGTAGAAATAGATAGCTATGACTGGCGATTTGACTGGAAATAAGAACAAAACATACGGAATACAAAATATATTTTCAAATATATCACAAACATAGATAAAAGAAGAGTGATCACAAACTACAAATATATATATAACACATTATATAATATAAAATTATAAACTAAACAGAAATTACTGACTAATATTAACTAAAGTATATTACAGACATATATTTAAAGTACCACAAATTAAAGAGAAATAACTTATTAATATTAATTACTTAAAGACTAATAATAATATATTAAAAACTTAAAAACTAAGAAGAGAAAAGCGCAGGAGTATTGACGATAGAATGACAAATTTATCAGGAGTTGCAACACTAGAAGAAATATCAAGTAATGCAAAAATTTAAAAGGATAAAAAAAACAGATAATTTGTTAAAAAGAGCAAATACTTCGCAAACAAAGAAGTTCTAAAAACATAAAATATATATATTGATATGAAAATTGAGAAAACACTAAATTCCTAGGATTAAAATTCATTTACAAGACATTATTCTTTATTAACTCTGCATTCAATAGTTATTAACTTCCCGTAGGGTAAGTTATTGTAATGGGCCGAAAATCGAAATTGAAAATTTTTACATTTCTCGACGTTTTGAAGGTTTCTGAACATTTTGGCATACCTCAGAAAAAAAAAGATGTGTGTGTGTGTGAGTGTGTATGTATGTATGGATACAATTTTTCGTCCACGTTCTCGGGCGCACGGATCAACCGATTTGGATGATTCAAAAAACATTCAATTCCTATTGATAGGGAGATGTGCTGATTAGTTTTTGGCAAAGGCAGGTCCAGCAGTTACGGAGATAAAGAACAAAGAGTGCAGAAAATAAAAATCGAGTTTTTGAAAGATCGAAGCAGCTGATTTGAATGATCCCAAAAACATTCAATTAGGTTTTTGCAAAGGCAGGTTCAGCGGTTTCGGAGATACAGAGCTAAATGTGCAACAAATGGCAGTTTTGAGAGAACTAAGCGTCCGATTTGAATGATTCCAAAAACTTTCTGCTTGTTTTAACAAAATAATTGATTTTGGAAAAAAAAATTCTGCTTCAAAAATTACTTTATTAATTTTTTTTCCAAAAAAATTTGTTTATATATTGAAAATAATTCCAGTTTTTATTTTAATTCTGTTTTAATATACTTTAAACAAATAATTTCAACTTTTCAATTTAGTTTATATAATTCTTATAAATATTCGACAATGTTACAATATTTATAATAATCTATTTTAAAACATTTAATATTCCTCGATCATTTCGTTACGGTACGGGAAGTTTCAGCAATTTGCCTTAGGGCACGATGCAATACACCCCGCTAGTTTTGCTATCTAATCAATCATCAATAAAGCTCCAGTCAACAAAATCTTTGAATAATGTATGTGTATGAGTGTTTTTAAAACATTACATTCAACCGTGTTATGATTATGATGAAAACATTATCATCAAAATTGTCATAAAAGATCAGAAAGTATCACATTGTGTTTACAATAAACAGAAAAAAGTTTTATGCACATGCAATCGTTCATGAATTAGAAGGTAAAAGCAACGTTTTTGATTTCCAAGATGAGTAGCAAATATATCCTGAATTTAAACACTATATTGGGATGCTGCTCAAGTTATTTAGCGAAGAATATTATATCACTAACCCTCAATAAAAATGCATTAAAATATTAGGCATGAGATAGCTTTGCTTTATAAGTCCTCACATTTGCTAATGTAATAAATAAAGTTATTAAATATAACAATAAACTTATATTAAATCCATTTTCATCAAACAAAAATAAAATTATATGAATGCCACCAAGATGTGAAGTGATCATGATCTATGATTTGATAGTGTCAAAAGATCCAGATGTATTCAATGCAGACCATACAAAGGAAAAAAGTAAATAAAAAAATAAAAAAACGAAATATTGAAAAACAAAATAAAAAAAAATAAATTAAAATAATAAATAAAATAAAAAAAATCTGCCTTTAAGTTTCTTTCAACAATTTATTAATTCAAAGAGAGATAATCTTAGAATTGATATAGAAATTACACAGACCACACCAGCAAGAACATGATGCAAAACTAGAAATATTTATGAAATGCATTATACTGAAACCATTTTATATAGTAATAATGAAAAAAACTAAAATCAATTATAAATAATTTAGTTAAACATGTTTATTGAAATAAAATGAGAGTAATAAAAAATTGAAATTCATAAATAAAATTATAGTGGGAATAAGAATTGTTGCATGTTCTCCAGAAAATATATAAATAAGAATGAGAGCACTAAAAATTTGAAAGTAATAATAAAATTTATAATAGGATTGCAAATTAATTAATTTGAAAAGAAAAAATATATATTAATTAATTAATGGTTATCAAAAAATATTTGGATTTTACTGCCTCAGACGAGCATTATGAGATCTGACACTTTTTTTATATTGCTAACACATTATATATATATATATATATATATATATATATATATATATATATATATATATATCTTATATATAAAAATGGAGCTGTCTTTCAAATGTCCGAATAAAACTCGAAAACGGCTGAATGCATTTGGCCAGTCTTAGTCTTGAAAAATTCTTGCCAATCCAGAGATTGTCCAAAAGGTGAGATAATATTTCAAATCCGCGTAGAAACTTTACATTTTTAATTTGAAAATTTTTGGTAAACAGCACTTGATTCAAAATGGCTTCCCACACAATGTTATTCAAATGACAGATGAACACTACTCATATGTCAAAACAAAGTTAAAACAGATTATGTGTTATTCTTTTAATTTTAAAATTTAATTATTTATATATTTTTAAATGGTAATAAGAATGCTTATTTTGATTTTATATGAGGTTTTTATTTAATTCTCAAGTGTATGCTCACTGCCTTTTTGTATTCTTTCATCAAGAGCTTGAAATAATACTATTCTTATTGATTAAGGCTTGCTTATGAAAGAATAAATAAATAATTTTGTTTCAAACGCTGTGCTGTGCAAGTAGTTATTGGTTTAATGTGAATAATGTGTTACCAAAACATTTTATGAATTATATTATTATTGCATTTAGGTTATTCAAATTGAGATCCTAAATTTGGAATTCATCGAAGGGGACACCATAGACGTTTCTGTCTAATCACTTATTGCAAGTTATAATAGACAGCGATATGAATAAGAAAATTGGATTATAACACAGATAGTAATTTTAGAAATCATATTCATAAAGGTCTTCGGAAACGAAGTTGTATGAAAATTGCTTATAAAGCTCACATTATGTTATTTTCATCCACATAAGTACAGTTTAAATAGATATGGAAGTAATCATTTCGAATATATACAGTACAATCTATTTACAATACAAATTTTTCATTACAATACTATAAGGAGTTTTGTAGTTATATGGTCCATGACATTTATATTTTGAAGAATGTAAAGTATCAGCAGTACGAACTTGCATTATATTATAATACATGATTTCATCATCCGAATAGGCTTTCTAATGCATAGAAAGAAGTTTTTCCAGCATTCCAATTTGCAATGAAAAAATTAAAATAGCTCAACATGTCCCACATGATAATAGATTTTTCACAGAATTTTTCTTAAGGTGTTTAGATACTAATACTGTTATCGATCGGGTCTTTTCCCAATTACTTCCCGAGCATACTATATAGTGGTCATGGTGATAACAAAGATACCACTAATTTGGATACACAGTTGTAGAAAAGGAAAATCAAAATAAACATATTGAAATTTATCACAATATGCACTCATGTCGAAAATCTACATATGTTCAAGCAAATTCATAAAGAAGAAATGTCCATTTTATATAGCTATATAACAATCGGGGTAAAACGTTAAAACGGCTGTACGAATTGGGCCAATCTTAGTTGCATAATTTTATATTCATTAGTATTTATAAAACATTTTCAAGTATATAATTATTTTGGAATATAAATTTGGAATCGATCAAAGGGGACATTTTGTCGAATAACTTATTCCCAGATATAACAGACCACTACTTAAATAATAATAATACATAACGAAAGTTTATGATTTCCTTTTGTTGTTAGTTTTTTGGGTTGTGAACACTGTGATTTAGTTCACGAGACCTTAATATAAATTTTAACTATTTAATTGTTTTATAAAATGTAATGTTAATTTTGAGTGAGATTCAACACTTTAAAAACTTACATCTGTGTGGGGCACAAATGACCAACTGAACATTGACCACGGCTAAAGACTAAAAAAGACTTGGATTGAATTATACCATATTTTTATAGAAAGTGTATAAAACTTCCAGTTTGATTGTATTAACAAAATATGGTCAAACGAATATTGTTATTTTGAATTATATAATTTATTATTATCCAAGTAGACTTTGGAGTTTATTGTGTTTATAAAATACCTCATTGTTTATACCATTCAAACTATACATTCTTACACTCCTAAAATAAAGTATTCTTTTTTTTATTCTTAGGAAGTTGCTTAGAAATACCTAACTTAGCAAAACAACGTTTGCCGGGTCAGCTAGTCTTATATATAAAAATGGAGCTGTCTTTCAAATGTCCGAATAAAACTCGAAAACGGCTGAATGCATTTGGCCAGTCTTAGTCTTGAAAAATTCGTGCCAATCCAGAGATTGTCCAAAAGGTGAGATAATATTTCAAATCTGCGTAGAAACTTTACATTTTTAATTTGAAAATTTTTGGTAAACAGCACTTGATTCAAAATGGCTTTCCATACAATATTATTCAAATGACAGATGTATCGAGTATCGCCTACTCATGTGTCAAATAGATGGTTGTCAAGTTGGAACAGATTATGTGTTATTCTTTTAATTTTAAAATTTAATTACTTATATATTTTTGTTAA